TTTATTTCATTTTTTGTTTCTTTGCGGAAGGGTAATTAGAAAATATAAAAAGTTAATCTTACTGTTCCTTTTTTCTTAGGGAGATCAACTGGGTTTCAAGTTTGGGCTAGGTTCAGTAGCAATCCAATAGTTTGTGTTTTACATTTTTACAAAATTTTTAAAGAGTTACTTTAAATTATTTTAAAAAGTGCAGGTGGTTAGACATATTTAAAAGAAAAATATATTACTCATCAAAAAGCTGAAAAATATAGGAGTATTAAAAAGGATTCAACCTTCTTCCAATTTGATAACGGAGGGCGCGAACTTTTATTCTATAGAAAAGTGTGGAATGCAATTTTTAAATCTATTGTGCTTGATTTAATTACAAAATTTTTTAATTTAATTTAATGATTTGAATTCACATGATCGTGTTTGATTTAATTAAAATTTAGTAGAATTCATTTGTAATTATACACTTTTTATATATATATTTTTATTTTGAATTACATAATTGGAAGTAACTATCTCTCAACTTGTTATCCATTCTACTTCTTTTGTTTTTATTGAAAAGATATTATTATACTCTTTTTTTTTTTTTTATCAGCAAAGGAAATATTACATATTATTTTAAGGAGTACAAAGGGTACTCCAACCTATATACAAAGGAATAAGGCATGATCAGACCACACGCCCAACAGCCAATACCATTATAAAGAAATTGCAAAACTAACAAACAAAAACTTTCTACCAAGAATCCAATTCATGCTTATAGAATGTCTTCAATAGACTTTTATGCCTTCTTACTTCTATAGCAACCTATATTGAATTATTCTACCACTCAGAAAAGGAAAAAACACACCTTTGCATCTTAGTTTTAATCCAGAAAAAGGTCTTGGCTTGCACCACATCTACCACCCTTTCCCTAAAACTCACAAGATGCTTAAAAACTCCCATATTCCTACAGTACCAGAGATACCAAGAAACAGCAAAGAAAATACATGCTCCCATTTCCTTCCCTATAATCTTACCCAAACCATGTAGAAAGAACTCTGCAACTCCTTCTATTGTATTTGATAACACAGCCTCAATACCCCACCAGTGCAACACTTGCACCCAAAGAACTTCCATATCCCCAAACACTTCTTGATCCCAGCCTTTTAAAAACACTTTCAACAGTTTTAGTTTCTGCTTACATCTATACCCTACAAACCCATCCACCTCTAATTCATTCCACTTATCTTCTACTGTTTTCTTGAAATTAGGATGTTGTTGCCAAGCATCCAAAACCCTGAACGGTTTTGGCCCCCAGTCTATGATTTTTGTCTTCATAAGTATGGCACAATGATCCGATATAGTTCTTCTCAGCCCTTGCTACACCCATTCACCTCCCATAGTAAACATCTCTTCAGTCATCAATACTCTATCTAACTTGCTCATAGAAGAACCATCTAATCTATACCATGTAAACCACCGATTTGCCAATCTAATGTCAATTAGCCCAGTTGTCTCAATAACAGCATTAAAATCGCTCATCTCTGGATTCTCCCCTATTCCCCCCTCTTTTCTTCAAGACATCTTACGGCATTGAAATCACTTGCAATCAACCATCATCCTCCCTTCTCTAGAATTAGTGTCCGCAACTCCTCCCACAACTCAACCTTCTTCCTTTTATCATTTGGAGCATACACATTCACAAAATAACATTGCAACTTCTTTGTACCCCATTCCCTTGAAACACCCAAGAAACCGTCACCCGTAAAAACTTCCCTCTTCACAAAATTCAACTTGTCCCAAACACACAACAGACCTCCCGATGCTCCCATTGACCCTTTCATAACCCAATTGAAGCCATCTGAATTCCACAATCTTCTACATAAATTACCATCAATCTCCTCTAATTTGGTCTCCTACAAGAATAAGAAATCTAGTTTTTTCACTTTTACCAATTTGCCCACTTCTTTCTTCTTCAATGGTCCCCCTAAACCTCTAACATTAAAAGATAAAAGCTTCATTCTAATGAGAAACCCACATCCCCAATCACCCGAACACCCTTAATTCCGTTTTAGATTCCGCCCCCTCTCCTCATCCCTATCTTCTAACTCTAACAACCTAGACTCAACCGCATCTTCATTGTCTTGCATTTCAATACCCAACCTTTTCCCCACTCTCATCATCTTCCTCACCTCATGCAAATTAAGTTCTCTTTGAATTACCTGGTTTCTGTGCATAATACATCCATCAGAAAGAGACATGCTACCAACCCGCTTCACTGTTTCCGTTGCAACCTTTCGAGCCATCTCTCTTCTCCCTTGCCGTAGCTTTGTTCTGGGTGTCACCAACTGCCCCCGCTCCGCCCAGAGTTCTGCTGGCTCCTTCGAGTAACACTCTTTTATTTTCCTGTGCCTTTGACCCATCAAATCCCCTCTATCAATCTCCCGGACAGACGCTAGCTGTCCCACATTATCATCATCGAGCCTATTTTCTTTACTGCTCCCCACCATCCCACTTGGGTTGGCTACCAGCCCATCATACTCCTTCAGCCCATCACACTTATCCACTACCGGCCCACAATCCATAAATAATCCATGTTCGTCATTAACCCGAGAAATTGCCCTGCACTCCAAATTGAAACCACTATTACCATCATTTTCGGCCGTTTCGTTTAAATTCAAAAAGCCTTCCTTCCTTGACTGCATATCCTCAATACTATCAACTTCATCCTTTTCTCCTTTTTGTTGTCTTATATATTAAAAAATTGAAATATATGCTTTTTTTTAGTAAAAGAATTGTCTGTTTTGCAGGTTGTGTTTTCAAATTTAGAGGAATTGGACTTGTTTACGATTAAAATAAATCAGTTGTGGATAACATCTTCCTACACTGTGACTTCTCAAGAAATCTTGAATTTCAGAAAGCTTAAAAGACTACAAATTTCT